TAACAGTTAATTTACCCAAAAATGGAATGTGCTGCCACAGGCAGTAATTAATTCCCCTCCTCTCCCCTCCACTGGATGCCCTCGGAGATCCCTTTCAACTCTGAGATTCTGATTCTGTAGATAAAAATCGGGAAAAAAAAAGTTATCAGTCCCAGTGACCATAGGGAATAAGGAGAGCAAAAGGCCTTACAGATTCCAAAGGTTGGGATTTGAAAGTAACAGAATGTCCGCATGATATTTCTCCACATACCAGTCTGTCAACAGGCATTTATGAAGTACTTAAAGTTTTTCCAGGAACTGTGCTAAAAATTGGGATACAACGAAAGGCAAATAGAGTGACCCTGCCCTCAAGGAGTTCACATTCAAATAGCAACAAAATGCCTACAAATAGCAACAAAATGCCTATGTAATTACAAGTTATATTGAGAGTAAATGGAAAGTATTCTTAGATGGAAAGCTCTAGTAGTTTTGGGGGAAGAGAGAAGATTGGGGACCTGCAAGACCTCCAGCATAAGCTGAAATTTTAGCTGTGACCACAACCCCCTATTCAGAATCAAGACCTTTTGAGTTTGAGCACTGTGTACCCTATTTCTGTGTAAAAGATGTGAGTGCATAGGTGTATCAGAAACAATAGTCATATGTCATTTTGCATTAGACAGCCTTAGCCCATGTTTACGTTCTATAAGTCTGTGTGACAGTGGAGGAAATGAATCTCTTGTTGAAAGTGTTTTCAAGTGGAGGTTTTAAATCCTTTGTGTTTCCAACTTCATTTGTTCCTGGCCCGAGTCATCCCAGTGATGCTGATCACGGTCTTGTGACTCAGAAAACTTAAAACGTTGAATTTTGGAGAAGGGGTTATGCTAGTTTAAAGGGTAATTAAAAAGGGGGGGGGGAAGGGGAGACCCAGAAGACTAGATTCCAAAAAATTCCCAGGTGTTTTTCAGTCAAAAGGAGGTGCCCACAGGTTGAATTAGATGTGCCAAGATGAGTCTTACTGAATCGAAAGGGTCTGAACTCAGAAAGAACTGAGTCAGAAAGAGTCCAGTTTGCCTGAGAAGTGAAGTTAACCTTAGTCTAAATTAAATAACTGTCCATGTGTGGAATTAAACCTAGATAGTTTGAGGATACTCCAGAGGGAGAGGGCCTCAGAAAAAAGGGAACAAGGGGAAGATTCTGAGGGAGGTGCCTTGTGGATGAAGATAATGGGAAGGTATAAATTCAAGAACCTTTCTGGGCTTCCGTTTCCTCACCTGTAAAAGAAAGATAATATTTTGACTACCTGCCTTAGAGGGTTGCTGTAAGGATTAGATAAGATATCTTTAAAGTGTTTTGTATATGTAAATGTCAGCTTCACTTTAACTTTGCCTTCCCCTCAAGCTGTTCTGTTACATACTTTTTTCTTCCTTTCTCATCCAAACTCCTAGAAAAAGTTATCTACACTCTATGTCTCTATTTCCTCATCTCCCATTCATTTCTCACTCCC